ACGAACATTAAATGTGGTGCAATTACGCACACTATTTAAAAAAATAAAAATAAAAACTAGAAGGCGGGACTAGAAAATTTTCAAAAATTTCCCAAAATTTGAAATCTTTCAAATTTCACACTACTAAAAAACAGATCGACAGCCTCCTTCCGGTAGAAATCGAAACCGTCGTCAAAATCAAAGCCCTCAAAAAGGTTTTTTTTCTTCCCTTTTTAATTGTCATCTTTAATTCATGTTTCTGATGCATAAATTCCATCAGTTTTCCCTGTAATTCTCTTTTGGAACCCCCCCCAGCAGAGGAAACACTTTTACTTTCATCTTTCTCTTCGATCTTTAGGTATTACCGCATTTCCTCTCTCAATTGCTGCTATAGTATTTCTTGAAATTATTAGATTTAGGGTTGGGTAAACTGATTCTAAGGATTTTGATTGTACCTTGTGTTCTGATTTTGTTTGAGATAGTCCCGTGTTTAGTTTAGATGTAAGGCCTGAAGCTTTTCGAGATGAATCTTATCCAAGGTGGACTTGAAAAGCATTTTGAGGTAAGATCGTTTGATTATTGTACTGATTGTTTGAGGTCTAATTCTAGAAATGATCATGAATTATATATATATATATATATATATATATATATATATATATATATATATATATATATATAATTTTTTATGAAAACGATAGGAGATTAATAGGGTGAGGCCAAATCAGCCATAACCCAATAAGACAAAGTTTAGTTACAGTGTATCCTCAACAAGGAGGTCGAGAATAAAAGTAAGGCTAGTAAGCCATTCACATTGACTACCAACATTCAAACTAAACTTGGCTAAGCGGTGAGCAACAGCATTGGCTTGACGTCGAACGTGGGTGCACCGGACTTCAGTGATTGCAGCAAGAGCACATTTCGTATCCTCCACAAGCTGTCCAACTGATGACAGGTTGATGGAAGGGTCAGATAAGGCTCCTGCAATCTGAAGTGAATCTCCCTGAATTTTAGATTTTTTTTGTTGGTGCCTTTTGAGGGTTTTGTGAGGGTGGGGGCAAAAATTCGATGTTACAGTTGGAATTTCTAAAGCTGGGATAATGGGTTTGGTTGATGTGTTTCTTTGGTGTGATAATCTCGGTCCTGGTATTGAATTTTGTTATATTTATGTGTTTACTGTTGTCGGAGAATTAACGATAATTACTTTACTGGATGTTGAACAAGAGTTGGTATGTAGTGTATCCGATGCTAAATGAAGTTTAAATGGTTACATTCCTTGACTTATCGGTCCTTATAATTCAGGTGCTGCTAGAGATTGGTTAGCAGTTACAACTATGCTAAATCAGTTGAAGAGTGGGGTTCGCTCTGCAATACACGCTAAAGGTTCACGGTTATTTTTCATGTCACAAAACTCTTCTACATTTTCACTGCTATTTTTCATGTCACAAAATTCTTTTAGTGAAAATGTCAATCTATGGCAGGTGGTTTGAAATAAAAAAGGAACCTTGAATTCGAGCGATCAATTATTTTCTACAGGCACCACGTACTCACTTGGATCATTATTGCTTGCCTTTTGTGTAAATGACTTTGTGGATTTGAATTTTTCTGTATATGATGTTCTTGAGACATGAGTTTTTGATTTCTAAGCTTTATATTTTCCCTTGTTTATCTCATACGTGGTTGGTGGTTCAAATTCATGAGGGTTTACAATTCAAATATTTTACATTTATGAAGTGTGCATTGGCTTGTTGGAGGACCAAGTTTGGAACTAGGATTTAAGTTTTGCGAGTGTGAGACAAGGTATGTACATGTTTGGGTACATTCCAGCATAACTTAGTGGTTTGGTATTTCTTACTATAACTACTCATTTTGTCGTTAGCTTTAGTGTAATATTTGAATATGTGAATTTTTATGAAGTAGATGTGCAATTTTCTATATAAACATCTTTATATATATATATATATATACATATATATATGTATATACATATGTATATGTATATACATATGTATATGTATATGTACTTGTTTATTTATTGACTAATTTATAATTTTTTTTTATTATTTTTGAGAAAATTTTTATAACAACCAATTTGTAATCCACAATGGCCATAGCTCATGGTGTTAGATTCTGATCTACGCAAGGTATAAAAAATCGATAATATCGGCGATATTTCACCAATATTATCGTTTTTTTGGGAGTCCGATATTTCTACACATAACCAATAGGTTTTCGTCCAAATATCGAGATAATATCGATAATATCGATAATATCGCGATATTAGCAATATTATCGCGACATTGCTTGAAGGCGACGCCGATGGAGTAGACGGCGACGGCATGAGGGCCTTGAGCATCTGGATGAAGGAGACAGAGAGGAAGATGTAGGCGGAGTTGGAGAGCTAGATGGAGAGGGAGTAGAGAGCGCCGATAGGGACGACGGAGGAGAGGTAGAGGTAGAGGTCGCGGGACATGGTGACGGCCCGGGCTCGACGAGGAGGAAGGCGAGGGAGGAGCAGAGGGAAAGGAAGTAGAGGGTGTCGATGGGGATGACCGATTTCAGGTAGAGGTCACGGCACGGGAGATGGAGACGACGCCGACGAGGCGGAAGACACGGACGAGGAGGATCAAGAGATGGATCGAGAGATGATGTCTGTGGTGTGTGGGAGAACTGGAGAAGGGAGAAGGGAAGGGCGAAGACTCAGAAGAAAGAAGGAAGGGAGAAGACTCAGAACTCAGAAGAGATAATGAAGGATCGAGAGACTGAGCTCAGTCTCTGTGTACGTGTGTGGTGTGGGGGGTCTCAAATCTCGATCTCTGTGTGCGTGTGTGGTGGTGTGTAAGTGTGACTCACTCTCTGACTCTTTGTGTGTGTGGTGGCGTGTGAGAAAAAAAAGGCATCCAATGATCCAAAACCTGTCTCTAGCTCTCTGATCCAATGATCCAAATAACTTTTTGCAATTTCAGACCATGGACAACAAATAATAGTGCTTTCATAATGAAACCGTGTACCACTGTGAGTCCGTGATATTCTTTCACGTGCAAAACAGTGTGCCATTGTCTGTTATATTCTTTCACCTTATCAAAGGTGGAGTATCAGAGGCATTCAGAGCATTTTCGTTTCTTCTTCTTCCCTTACCATTTTCAAAGCCATTCCAAATCCATTCCAAAGCTTGAACACAAAGGGTTCCATATTTAAGGTAAGTTTACAAACTTATATTTATATTATTGTAATTTATACAACAACAAATAAATTTGTGTGGACTCGTACGTTAATTTTTTTAAGTAATTAATACTTGCATGTTAATTTTTGTAAGTAATTAAGTAATGTTAACAATTACATGTTCAATAATTTTAATATGTTTAATGTTATTTATTATTTTATTAATATTAGGTTTTATTATCAAATTGGATTATTATTCATTAATATAGGTTTTTTTATTATCAAATTGGATTATTATTCATTAAATTGGATTATTATCAAATTGGATTATTATTCATTAATATTAGGTTTTATTATGAAATTGGATTATTTTTCATTAATATTAGGTTTTTTTTTATCAAATTGGATTATTATTCATTAAATTGGATTATTATCAAATTGGATTATTCATTATATATAAATGATTATGGTGTGTTTAGACTTCTTTCATTAATTATTACATATTTTCTACACTCACAATGTTTGTCAGCTCGCTATATAATCAACTTGATAATGTTAAATTCATCATGCAATGCATTTCCTTCCAATTTTTTGTGATAAACTAATAGATAATTGACTAAATAAACATCCTGCAAAGTTTCAATAAAAATTTCCAAGTTTTTCTTACAATTTCCGTGGTTTCCATGTAATTTTATCGATATCGATATTATCCCGATATTTCCATTGATATTTCCGCATTTTCGGACTACCGATATTTCCGATATTTAATACCTTGGATCTACGACAAGCACAATCCGTGGTTATATTGCATTTGACAACGGACAAGACCCATGGTAGAAAATGAGACTCTTTATCACATATAGATTACTAACGGGCACAGTGTTCGCGGTATATTGCAATCTATCACAGGCATTGATTGTGGTAGATGAGTTTTTTTTTTTGGTTGATGAGGGGTGTGGTTGTATCTAGATTGGACTGCCTGCATATCTTCCAAAAGGAGAATCAAACCACGGATGTAGTTCTAAGAAAGAATAGTGTGATATACATGGGTATGAGAGATGGCGATGTGTATATATATGCCATTTTTAATTTAAGTTTTAAGTTTTAAATAAACATGTTATTATTACATAATTATGAGGTTCATGTAAAAAAAAGTAAATTTCGTGTTCATGTAATTACTATATTGCCCCCAATTTTTATTTTTGTTATGTTTTGGTTAGAGGGTTAGAATGCTGATTTTATAGAATTTTGGTTGACAATCAGAATTCTATTGATATGTAGTTTAGATAACAACCAAATCAATTATGACCATGCAAATTCTAACAATGAAATATAGCATTCCAAGAGGAGGGTTTGATTCTCATGGAACTAAGCAAACGCTTGAAGTATTAATCCACCTTTCGATTTGGCCATAAAGACTTTTCCCATAAAAAAAGGTTATGTATAAAACTAAGTAAAATAAAAATCAAATACATGTGCTTGAAAAAAAAAACACTGAAAGAGACAATTGTGATAGGGAAAATGTAGGAACAATTTCAACAATGTAACATTTCAATTTCAACTGGGTTATAGTCTAGTGGTGAGGGTGAGAGGGGTGATATGCAGAAATAGGCTAAAAATTCAAAGTTCGAACTCCTCCTTTGTACCCTGAAAAAGCAATATTTCCAATTGAGGAGAAATAGAGCCACTATCTCTCATCAAATGTAGGATGCCAAAAAATGATGAGCTAAAATAGGGTTTTGTTCTTGCCTCTCGGAGCTAACATTTTATTCAACCTCTCCATATTTACCATGGAACGCCCTTTACGGAAATACACTTAAAAAAATTTTCATACAAATGCTATATAAAGACCTTCAAAGTTAATTCTTTGAATCAACAGCTCTCTCTTTATCTCACTTATTTCACACACGTGCAAAGATCACTCACGCACCCAGAAAGTCAAGATGGAGCGTTCCGAGCGTTTGTTTTCGACTGTCTTCATCCTCCTCCTCCTTCTGGTGGCTATTGGTACCTTTCTCTTTCCTCATCTTAACTTCATCTTTATGCCTAACAATGAAATAAAATTATAGATTGAAAGAAGTTTTGAGTTCGAATACTCATTCTCCCGGTGATGAAAAAGAAAACCAGGATTTTATGGGTTGATATATCGATGCATGTTTGGCAGGAACGGATCCAATGGTTGCTGAGGGGAAGACAAAAGAGAAGTCATCGAAGAATGAGAAGTCGTCGAAGACATGTGAGTCTCCAAGCCATAAATACCACGGTATTTGCTTCAGGTCAAGCAATTGTGCAACTACATGCAAAAAAGAGGGATTTATGGGAGGCAAATGTACTGGCTTCTGGATGAGATGTGTATGCACTAAAAAATGTTAAGTCATACAAAAACTAACATGCGTATTTGGATGCATGCGTGCATGGGAACAAATGACCTTTTGTTTTGTTTTGTTTGTTTGAAAGAGAATAAATGACTGAACCCTAATCCACCATGGGGATTTTTGTCCTTGTCTTGTTTTTTGTGCGTTAACTGCACAATTAAATAAAATCTTCGTAATCAAAACATCGTTGCATTAGGGTGCGTTTGGTACGCAGACGGGACGGAACGGGACGGGACGGGACGGGACGGAACGGGACGGGACGGGACGGAACGGGAAGGGACGGGACGGAACGAAGGTGTAATTTTTGAAAAAGACATGGGGTATATTTGTCTTAAAATGGTAAAACATTGTGTTCCACAGACGTGGAACAAACCCGTTCCAGGGGGAGGAGGTGGGACGTAAAAACACCCAAAATCTGTCCCGTGGAACAGCCCGTTCCACCCATTTTTGGCGCACCAAACGCGGGACGGAACGCCTCGTCCCGTTCCGTCCCGTCCCGTCCCACGTACCAAACATCGTTGCATTGCACTGATACTTTTTTTGTTTTAAATAAAAAAATTGTCTTTTATTTTTATTTTTAGAACAAATATAGTTAAATCATAATTCTATTGATCACATTATCAATGGGACGGATGATACCGCTCATCCTATGCGTGGATATGCGTTGTAATATTAGTTGTTTTCATTTAGAAAAAAAAAATGTAGTGTTATCTACACATTCATTTTAACCTTTTATACATTTTTTTGTGAATTTTTGTCTTTTGATCATTTTCAATTAATTCAATCCGACGATTATAAATTAAGAAGAGCGTGTAAAAGGTAAAAAGTGGTATGTGAATAACAAAACACTCCCAAAGCCACGAGAGCACATCAATATTTAAATATTTCCAAGGTAACATTTTGAATAGGTAACAAGATTTCTAGTCGGATATATGGTAAGAGCAATATCTTCTTCGTAATATTATTTCACCTGGAAAAAAAAAACAACCAATACTGTCAATTTTTTGGTGGAAGTGAATATACAAAGATCTTCTTTTATGATAAGTTATCTAGTGATATATGACATCCTTATTTTTATATTTAAAAAGACTCAAGAACTTATCTCAAACTAAGGTGCCAAAACCTTAATGGTCTGTTTGGATAAGGGAAATAAACTTGGAATTTAAATAAAACTCAGAATTTATAAATTGACATGCACCAATTCCCTTGTTTGGATTTATAACATAGAAATTTAGAATTTCTGCGTGAAAAAAAACTTGGAATTTGGGGCCTCCAATTTCCAAGTTTAAATTCCATGTAAATAAGTGTCATTTCCCAATTTCTATGATTGGGAGTTTAAAATTAACAAATTCCGTTTTCAATTCCATTGTTCTTTTAAGTTAACCAAACAACAAAATTCACAATTCTAGAAAATAAAATCCCTTCATTTTAATTTCCGTCATTTTAAAATTCCGTAGTAATCTTAAATTTCTTCATCCAAACATAGTGTAAGGGTTTCCAAACCGGATAATGCTAAAGAAATTAAATTTTGTAAACTAAACTATGTGGATGTTGATAATTGAATTATACTTAAATATTGATTAACTTATTTTTTATTGATGACACATCATTTAGTTTACAAATTTGATTTTCCTAACATTATTCAAACCTTAATATTCAGGGCCATAACCTTTATGTGCCCATATACTTTACCTACTTACATGCGCAAATAGCTAACCACCTACCCAACTCAAATGTCTCTCACTAGAAAAAAGAATGAGTGTTTTTTAGGGTAAGAATGAATGTGTTTGGTGTTGTACATGAGTGCATAGGCAATGTAGAGTGTCCAAGAAGGAAATTAAAGAGAGAATGAGAAAGAGGTCACTGATGTGAATATAGTCACATTAACTAGAGCATATATGTATTTTTTCATGCATCCAAATTTGAATTTTTCTCCAACAATTCGTATTAGGTTAGATTAGTGTGCCGTTTTTATCAAAGAAAAAGAATGTCACTAATGATACGGTCTACTATTAGATTTGAGCCCCCTAACTGATGAATTTGATATCACATTATTGTGTTAGGTCCATTATGTAATTTGCGTCAAATACCCTCATACCGTAATGTAAAATATTGTTATATAAAAATTATTTTGGAAGTCCAATCCAAGTTTATCATTACTTTAGTCTTCAGTTGGGGAGAAACTAGTACTATTCATAAGCTACAGTGAAATTGGATTGATTTTGATTTATTTACCATTTTGCCATTCTTAAAAAAAAGTGTTGATTTGGATTTATTTACCGTTTTGCCATTCTGGTTTGGGTTGCTGCTTTTTGGTCCAATGTGGCCTCCGGCTTGGATCAGGCCTACACTCAAACGGCCCACACAGACTCCTAAATGACTTTTTTTTACTGTTAAGATTACAGATCCGACGGACAGGGGTAAAAAGTGTGGGGGTACTTTTGCCATTGAAGATCTGGGAGGGGTGTCTGCTTCGTCTCCTCGATGAGCGGGTGACGTCTATTTCTTGATAAGAAAACTAATAAGATCGACCAAAACAAATGATAAGAAACTAAATTAGGTTCTAAGTTGGAAAATGATTAACACATACTCGCCACATATCGTTTTTCATTCAATCTAATAGCTAAAAATAAAATATAATGTATAATATGCGAAAATAATTGGAAATCATTGTCCTTTTAAGTTTTATAACATCTTCTAAAAATTATAAAACAAATAAAACAAGACATAGAAAAGTTGTAAGAATTAAAAAATTAAAAAAATAAAATAAAATAAATAAGACAGGTACGCCAACCTACCTAGAACTCAGAAACAAATGCCCATTCATTTTAAGGTAACTTTTACTCTACAATTATTCAACTTTAAACCCTCCATAATGAAGCACTCTAATTTAAGAGAAGAGGAACTCAAAATCGAAAGCAGATTAACAACTTATGAATCCATCGTTATCGATACGTTTTCATCTAATAATGCATTGTCATGTATGTATTATTTGACCGAGACGATATATAACGATGAATCTGTTTATTTGTAAAAGTAGAAAACTGACACACCACCCAACCAACCGACATGATTCTTGAAACAAGTATTAAGGAGATGAAAAATAAGATTAAACTGCATGAGCAATCTTTGTCTGTCCCCATAACTTGAATTTTCTACCCAACTAAAATAGACTTAACTCGAATTAAATAGGTCATAAAATCAAGTGTCCCTGTTTTTGCTTAATCATTTGAGTCGCTATCCAAACACGACATCGTCACATGCATTTAATAAATTGGTTATGCTATATAATATACGCATGCATTATACATAATATTATATCGCTGTCACGCAGGTACAAAATTCTAGTGGATAATGTGCTAAATTTTCTCCTATCGCCGCGTGTTTAAAATTCCCTTATATTAAATAATTATAATAATTTCAAACTCTATCCTCTTAATAATAATAAATTCACAGGGTAGGTAGCCTGCATTCGTCTGGAAATAATAGAAAATATTCGACTTATTTACTCGTACGGGTCATTCCTCCTTGCTGACAAATCACACCTCGACACGTTCACAACCGTTTCTTTTTGCGCTTTGAATAGAATGATTTCGTTCGTGATAAGGAGCCAAGCAATGTTCTTTCATAACCTACTCTTAAACATTACGCATCAAATCTCAACACTATTATTCTTTCCCACAGGTCATTGTGTACGAAAAGGACATAAACCAAATCGCCACACCAAAACCCCGAAAAGACACCGAAACAGATGTTCAACCTGATGGACTTGACAAAACGTGAGTTCAAAAATACTGAAGAAAGTAATTAAGCACAAAATGGTTCAACATTCCAATCACAGCCTACAAAATTACAAATGGACATAAACTAGTCACCTTAGATAAAAGTTTTTAGCGGAAAACTAGTCACCTTCAAGACGAGGTCTAAATACATCATACCAGAAGCGTCGCGCTCTCGATGCTCCTCGTTGCGGCTGAGCATTCAACACGAAACAGCTCAATGAGGTACTGCATCTTCTTGAGTAACTAAACACAATATAGCGCAAAGTAGAATGCCCTGCCACTCAAAGGCAACTCAAAATAAATATAACGGTCCTCCTCACAGCATGCAGTCAGTTCTAGCCGGCAACCTCCTGAAGAAATTCAGTGGCACTGAGGGAAGCTTGTGACGGAATCTGGGGTGTCTCAGCACATAAAATCCAGTAAGAAGAGCCACAACCTGGAACGGTGTAACATACAAGATAATCGCTGCAATCAGACAGAAAAGCACGAACAAAGCGGTGGCTCTTGGATCTCTCCAGCTCAGTAAAGATTGCAGCCTCTCCCCTTGAGTAGCCAAGTCACCAACCACTGTCTGAATTCTCCCTGCAATACTCCTCAACCTATCATATCGCATCCTCACTATCTCGGAAGGCCGTGAAGTAGGGAATGTATCAAACTCTTCATCAAGTTCATCAGGATGTGCAGAATCTGCGTGAGACAGACGAGTGTCCATGTGAGGAGGGTGCCTTGGCCTCCATCTGTAATACCAAACTCCAATCAAGAAGAGGTAGAGGAAAATTGTAGGCAATATCAGCTCCGGGTACATGACCAGTATAATAAACAAGATGTGAATGAGTACGGTAGTAATGGGGTTTTTCCAATTGCAGATCTGGTCAAACCATTTTCCAACAGCAATTATTCCACCCAAAACATTCATAATCCTGAAGAAGTTAGCTTTGCTTCTTCTCATACTCCACATGTGGGAGCCCACATCCAGCATGTACTCAACCACTTCATTCCTCAATGGAGGTTCAGCACGACTCAGCCTCACTGATACAATCTGAGTAGCCTGGTGCCTCAAGCTATCGAGCTGACTTACAGTTAATGGATGAATATAGTGCATTTTTGGCAGCAGTGGTTGTGAGTACATGTGCATCATGTTAAGCAGGGAAGAGCAAGTGAACCTCACGGCCATATGAATTTCACCCATCTTCTTTACACCATTTGGGTGCAGAACCAAAAGGGGGTACGAGTGTGTGTAAACTCGATCAGTCTCAAGGGTGGAGAGACGAATCCTTACCTTCCCAATTCTTGCATCCCTGGCCCCTCCGGCCTTTTCTCCCCCATGCAGATGACAGTTATCAAATACCCCAATTGTTATGACAG